TTATTAATTTATAATTTATTTGATTCTATTCAATGAGCTATTATTTTTCTTTTAAATTTTTGATGTGTTTTTTCTTTGTTTTGAATGATAGTACATCTTTAACTTCAGTGATCTGCTATGAACCTGTTTCAACATACCATGGTCATACAGACCAATCACCCTTAATCGTCCAAATTACACAATTTTCTTGTTTACATATCAGTATCATTAGTCACTTATATACTTGCCACCATTGTGGCTCAGTAAAGAGGTTTCCATCCCATGCTGCATGTAGCGTATTGTGTTGACTCCTGGATGAGTCAAAATGTATTAAACCTCTTGTTGCTATATGCAACTGCTATACTCTGATAAAATACTACGATGCCAGAAAGAGTGCAGTCAGAATTACTTACGATATTTATAGATATTCATCTGTTATATACTCAAACGATTACATTATAGAATCATAAATAATATATAATATATAACATAAACCTGCATAACCATACATGCCTGGTTTCATCTTTCATAATTTAGTATCACCATGACATTATAATAATCAAACATGTTTGTGTTCCACATTGCTTGTAATTGACAATTTATACTAATAATAGTATAAAATAAAACATAATTTTCTATACTAAATTATGTTTTAATATTATCAGTTATGTAAGAAAAAAAATATTTAGTTGAGTACTAATAAATCGTAAAATAAAAGTAAAATGTGTTTTTTTTTTTCTTTTTTTTTTCCGGTTTTTTTTATATTTGTCACTGAAAACTTTGTCAAAGAAATTAGATCTACATCACTTAGATACTCACTACCTCGTACATCATCATCACTCGCGTGTAAAACTCAAGATAGATTTGATGCAAGTCGAGGTTAAACATTATCATTACTTATTTGTGTTTGACAAATAACATCCTGAATAAGATCGGGAAGATGAATGAAGTGAATAATAACAATAACAACATAAAAATGTGTTGCCTTCCAATCTCAAGGCCCAAAGGTATACTATAATGGGGGAGCTAAGATGTCCGACTGGGGCGGGGGCCCTAAGTATTTATGGGTGTAACTATAGCGCCATGGGTGGGTAAGGGAGGGGTGTCCTCTCCCCAAAAACGAGTTTTGTTTTTTTTTTTTGTTTTTAATTGAGACTTGATGGCCGGAAATGGCTAAGATGGAAAAACTAGGCTTATTTTTTTTAAATTTATTTTTGTTTGGTCCGACTGCCTGACGAGCTTTGGCTGATGGAGGGGGGCCTTAATCCCCTCCCCCTCCCCCTACCACCCGCGCCGCCACTGGGTATATCAGTCTTTGTGTTCATAACATTTCCGTGTATGCACTGGGACAAATATACATTTCTTGTGCATTTCAAATTTTAATATTTTTAAATATTAAAAGTTAATACTTAAAAGTTGGCAATAAAGTTATTTTGAATCTTGAATCTTGAAATACACAGTAGTCAACCTGACCACTTCTTGACACACCACAAGTTAATTGCTTAGGTTTTAAACAGGAAAAAGGCTAAATTCCACCTTATGTATTACTCAACCTACTCCCTCTTGACTTAACTCAGCAACCATAAATCTGTGAACTCTGGTGTGAACGGTTAATGATAGTTTACATTATTTTCTTCATTTTAGTGCAAGATTTATAATGATTGATTAAGAAACTAGGATGCATTTTTTCTTCAGTTGAAATTTTTTGTCTGTATGGGCTTAGCTTTTACCTAAATCAAGTAGAAAATTCTATTTTTTTTGCTTTTGCAGAAAATTAGACTAAAATTGAATTATGAGTTATGAATTAAAAGTTCCCTTATACACTTGCCTGGGACATATTTATTCATTTCTTCACTAAATTACCCAGTCAACTGAAAAGAAAAGATCATGCGTTTATCTGTATATTTATTCCTGATAGTTTTAGTATGCAACATTATTTTCTATAAATAAATATACAGTACTGTAAATATACCTTTTCTTAAATTTCATAGCAATATTGCTTTTCGTTCATAGGTCTAATCTTTTATTTTTTTTTCAATGCCAAAAGGCAAAATACTAAAGTAACAACAATGCTGACAATAACAATAACAGAATCATTAAAATTGGTGTATACAATGGAAAAACAGCAAATTCCCAGGCCCTTTATGGCTACAGCCCTTGACACAACAGTCCTTAGCACAACAGAATAGACGAGTGACACATGCACTGAAATTTTAGAAATTTTGTGTCAAAATAGGGGTAGGGCACATTTCTCCTGCCAGCGTTGCTATAGAATTTTGAGCAAATAAAATAAAATAAATTCATTGGGAGCCATTTTTTAATACCTGTCATTTGGGACACATTTACCGGGCCATTTTTTCGGGGCCATTTAAATAAATAAATTTATTATTATTATTTATTATTATTATTATTAATTTATAATCTGATTCTATTCAATGAGCTACTATTTTTCTTTTATATTTTTGATGTTTTTTCTTCGTTTTGACTGATAGTACATCTTTACCTTCAGTGATCTGCTATGAACCTGTTTCAACATACCATGGTCATACAGACCAATCACCCTTAATTGTTACTGGACCTCCTCTTGGCTACCTTTCTTTAAGTGTGGACAATCAACAAATTTTATAACTGCCCTCAGGCTACCAAAATTTTGTCCGATTTAAAGTTGGCCATGGTCACGCAATGCGAAACCTGGATCAACTCATTTTCATATCTGAACGTAAACTGAACCTGGGCCGCTAAGCTATTCTTGGTAGCGGTAAATTTTTTCACACAAAATTGGACAGAAAAAAAAATGTTCAAGAGGGAGTAGATGGTAAGGTGCTCAGGTGGGGTGTCTTTTTTAGCTGTATGAATGGAGGGAAATACAACAGCAAATGGATGGGAGTTTTAAAAATACTGTGGTGTATAGGAAGGCAAGTGTGAGGATGGCAGAGGAATGTTTTGATTTTACAGCCGATCAAGAGGCAAATTAAGGCGATATGCCTCGAATTTCCTGTTCTCAATTCATCGACCGGCGCAAATATGAAGTGTGAACATTCGCAATGCAATCCTAAACCGACTCAAAAAACTATCTGTAAATGGAATGGTCGTTTTAAGGTGGCCCTAAGTTGTGATTGTCTATGTGTGATTGGGCTCATAAATGTAGTGACTTGTGAAAAATAACACAACCATAAGAAGATTTAAGTTATCGTTTAATAACAATAAAAAACAAAAAACAAAACAGGAAGCTCACAACTGAATGTCTTTGTAGTATGAAATTTATACTTGTAGATAAATATAAGGTGTTTCTTAAAAGCCAGGCTCTGGATATTATATTTGATGTACATATTTACTTTTAAAGACACTAAATAGCCTAAATAATCGGCAACAGCTAAAATACAGATTAAAGCCAGGCCTTGAAAGAAAACAAGTTGGAAAAAACGGGTTGTTACGCCCCTTTTAACCAATTTTGAATATTCATAGTCTGTATCTCATTAACCGTATTTCATTAAACACATTTTTTGTGTCTTAGGGGTCATTCAAGTATTATGTAACGCAGAGGGGGGGTGGGGGTATAGTGGAAAATGTTACAGTGTGTGACATAGGGGTGAGGGAAGGGGGTGTTGCTTGAAGAGTTACATAACAAAATTAATTTTCATGGGAAGAGAAGAAATATTAAATATTCAAACTTGTATGATATTACTTTATTGAAACATATTACATCAGTGTAATACAATGTAATGTAACACAGTTGTGTTGAATTTAGGAAATCAATAAACAATGAAGTTACATCTACTGTACCATATCAAAAAATAACAAAACATCCTACAAATTTGTAGTGTAGGACAAATTTGTAGTGGAGGACATTTATCCTGATACTTAATGTTGTTCATCTGATTTTAGAGTTACATAACATTTAGAGGGGGTTTGGAAAAGTGTTACAGAGTGTTATGGGGGTGGGGGTGTCAATATTTGCCAAAAAATGTGTTACATAATGCTTGAATGACCCCTTAGAAAAATCAGTTGTAGAACATAACATTTTTTCCCTCCTGAGCCTGTCTTTAATATTAAAAAACTGGAGGAAAAGAGGTGCAGAAAAAGGCCATAGAAAATTAATATGTACAACATATATTTTGTCTCCAAAAATATAATTCATAATTTTCTGACAATTTCTACAAGCATTCCGAATGGAAATAATAATTTATATTTTCTTCAATATCTTCCTTCGATTTCTGTTAAGCTCATTAAAATATTTTTCACCAATCATCATCTTCATAAAAATCATCTATGTTGTTATCATCATCAAAATCTCCAATGTGTATATCATTATCATATAAACTCGACTTCAGAGTGCTGTCCATATCATTACAATCATTGTAAACTGTAGAAATCTGAGAGCAGGAATCGTCCCCTTCCATGGTTTCAACATCTCTTTCATTCAATCTTTCAACCCTTGCCCTGTAAAAGCAGCAAAAGATACTAATCAGTTTTATGTACAGGTTTATCTATACAATGATGAAAATATCTTTCTTCCTATCTGCTGGATGTATAGGTTAGAAATTGCTGGATAGTAGCTAATATAAATATCAACTTATTGAATAATTTATAATTTTATATTTTTAAAAAAATCATTCAAAAATAGAACCTTAAAGTGAGCAAGCAAAAACTCACAACATCTAAGTGTGATTATCTACAATTACATACAATCAGTATATTGAACTTAATGCTATAACAATGATGATGATTTATAACATTTGTTTCGTAAGTGTTGATATTCTCACTTTTTGTTTGTTAGAACCTATTATATAATTATTAACATTATTTTACAGTGTTTTTATAGAAGCCTTGTTTACTGACCTTGTTGATGTTGAAAAGCTATTCAGTTCTTGAAGAAGAGAAATTTGACCTAGTGAAAAATACAATGACTAAAGACAATAAATTCATTCAAACATTCAACAATCATACACTAATTATTCAGTTAAACATGGTTAGGTAATACATATATACTTCTCTTTTTATCTATAAAATCTTTATTCACATAAGAGGGTAAGTACTGATATCAATTATGTTTTTTTAATCTGAATTCATTTTTTTTTAATATAAAAATTATTCAAGCATTAAATATAGGCATACTGCTAAAGTAGCCTGACAATATGATATGTTTAGGATGTTGAGTTTAAAATTATATCAGTATCACAAAAATTCAGAAATATAAAAAAAAAACAACTAGTCTATTGGTCTAATAAATTATATATATTTTTATTGATCTATAAATCCTTGTTATAAGCATAATTAATCTTATCAATATAATTTATAAATATATATTATAAATATATATTAACTGATAAAGTTGTGATGGTATACCTTTGTTATTCAATGGCGAATTAATGCGGCTTAAATATGGTAATAGTTGTGTGTGTAATGCTACTGGTGTCCAGCAATGACCAATAAATAATGCTTTCGCTGATAACGTATTCTCACGGCACTGGAAAAACAACAGAAAACAGTGCTAAATACAATCACGTCCAAAATTTTCTCACAAAATAAAACCATAAGGTCAATGCACCCATAGCTAGGTAAGTCCAAATTACACAATTAATTGTTTACATATCAGTATCATTACAATCATTATCATAAACTTTACAAGGTACAAGTGTGTCTACCTGTTTGGCAACCTGCCACCATTGTGGCTTATGTAGAGGTTTCCATCCCATGCCACTTGTAGCTGTATTGTGTCGACTCCTGGATGAGTTACAATGTATTAAACCTCTTGTTGCTATACAACTGCTATACTCCGATAAAATACTACGATGCTAGGAAGAGTGGAGTCAGAATTACTTATGATATTTATTGATATTTATTAAAATTATAGAATCATATTTAATATACTATATTAAATAAACTTTCATAAATATACATGTCTGTTTCATTTTTCAACATTTTATTTTCACCACAATTTTATAACAATCACAAATATGTTTTGTTCAACATTGCTTGTAACTGACAATTCATAAAACCATTACAGTAGAAAATAAACCATAATTTTTGATACTAAATAACATTTTCATATTAATTTTCAATTATGTATGCAAAACATTTAGTAGAGTACTAATAAATCATAAAAGTAAAATGTTTTTTATATTTATTTGCTACTTACTGAAAAATTAGAAGAAATTAGATCTGCATCACTTAGATACTCACTTCCTCGTACTACATCATCCACTCGAGTGTAAAACTCAAGATAGTTCTGATGCAAGTAGAGGTTGAACATATCACTACTTATTTGAGTTTGACAAATAACATCCTGAAAAAAAAAAGTGAAGATGAAAGACATGTTCAAAATATCACAATGACAACTACTGTATGAAATATTAAGTGATGCTGTAGCCCATAGTTATTAAATGTGCTTGATTTCCAATCCCAAGGTATTATATATAATGGCCAAATTTAATTTTTGTGTGATTTTTTTAGCTGTTATGGTAAGAGTACAAGAAAAAAATGTACTGTACAAAAGGAAATAGGTACAGTTTTTTGGGGGTATTTATTTTTTGGTAATCATTGTTGCAAATTTCTAATTTCGATCCTGGGTGTATTTTGTCATTTGTAATTTTGTAATTTTTTATTTTCTCTAAAAAAGTATTAACATTTATAATTATCACTAGTTGAGATGTTTATACTAAAAGCCCCATTGTGTTATGTGTTATTATAATTTGTGTTGTAAATTGTTATTGTTGGTTGAATAAATTAAATTAAATAAATAACGATAGTACTAATGACCACAATGCTATTTGGAATAAGGAGGCTAACTGATGTAAACATAGCCACAGGCTTCACGCAATCAAAAGAATTTGCAAATTTTTAAACATTTTTCATTATTAAAAGGTATCAACATTTAGGAAGACCTTTACAAAATTTAGAAACTACAGTAAACAAATATTTACCTCTGGGTTAAACTTCAAGTTATCTCTGTCATGATGTTGCAAATGAGGTGGTATATGTTGCTTATCTGCATCAATCTTCGGTTCAACTCCTACATCAAAAGAAAAAAAAAATGGTCATGCCTACATGGTAAACATGTAAATAAATAGATACCAATTTAGAAATACATAATTTGATTACTGAACTGTTTGTTTTGCGAACCCTGTGCAAAATAAACATGTTTAATATGACAAAGGTACAAGCAACCTATCATCACCTATACTTCAAAGCAATGGCATTTATTTGCACAGCATATGAGTAAAAACAAACATGGACAATTTCAAGAAAATCACCTTAAGCCTGGTTTCCTGTCGACGTAAGAAGGCAGATTTACTTACGACTACGTCGTTTTATCGTAACAAAATGCGATTTGACAGGAAACCGATTGCGACTGGTGCGTTGTGAAATCGACGTAACGTAAGGTTAAATCGTCGCAAAGCAATGTTGGACAGGAAACCGTCGTATTGAATTTTCATGCGATACGTCGATTTTCCACGATTTGACAGGAAACCGCGATTCAGTGACTTATGCTTGAGTGATCACACTTGCGTTGCCTTGTCTTACGTCTCTTACGAAAGTTGACTCCAAGTCAACTTTCGTAAGAGACGTAGCATTATGGACCAGAAATCGTAAGAAGCAGCCAATCAGATACGGGAATTATGACGTAGCCTTTATGATGTACCATGTTTTGACGTGGCTGAAACTGGTCAGATTGTTTTACAGTAGAAAAAATATAGGCCCTATGAAAATTCTGTGTTTCTTGCTTCTTTGAGTAGTCTACCAATACGCCACACATCCACGCAGTAGCCTATACAATTGTGTTTGTTACTATTATTACATTACTATACTGAAATTGAATTCGAAAATAAACAAGGATTTGTTTCAATTACAATCGTATAATACCAAGCGAATTGTTTAGAAATAAATCTGTTGTCAACCATTCCTATTTCCAGTCCAGTGGTTGTTTGAATTTTTTTTTTAAATAGTTAGGCCTATAGTTTTAATCGGGAGAAATAATATATTTTAAATTGTGCAAGTAATAATTAGGAAACAAGTGTTATTCCATGCTTCAATAAACGTATAATAACATAATACAC